TGAAGATGACTCAGATTGATTTTATATCATAAATGTCTCTTTGATTTATGTAAACAGCTAAAATACCAACCAGTCTCCAGGGCAGTGACTGGGATTCTGGACAACTAACCTGATCCTCAGTAAAGTGCTTTTCTGAATCTGTCACTAGCCTTGCTTTGAGCAAGTCACTCCCTGTAACATTAGTTCACCCATAGGTGCTGGAACTAGGGGTGCTGCCATACCCCCTGGCTTGAAGTGGTTTCTATTATATCCAGGGTTTAGTTTGGTTCAATGGCTCTCAGCACCCCCACCGTACAAATTGTTCCAATGCCCCTGAGTTCACCTGCTCAATTTCTTATTTCTATCCTGACCACCAGCCAGGCACACCACATGGCAGCACCTCCAGCATCTGGTAACCAGGCCAGATCAACACGGCTCTCGGTTGTGTCATCATGGGGTGTGCTGCTAGAAACTCATTCCGGAATTTGGCTTTAGCAGTGGATTGACAGCAGGTTTCAGCAGCGGCTAACCAAACCATCCAACGCTGCGGAGCAAGTACCCCAAACATTCTTCGCTACGCCCAGAGTCCAGTGGCCTGGCCGAATGTGCGCCTTCTATTTTAAACATGTGGCTGGGGCATGTGGAAGCGAAGGACCTTTCTTAGAGAAAAGCACTGATGCGATGATTGGGCATGTGTATGTTAAACGTGGGGACAGGCAGGCTGTTCATTGCTCCATTACTGATGGGATTTTTACACTTCGGACAGAACCCATTGGAAACTCTCTTCAGTGCTGCGGTAAGTGAAAATACAAAGTTACTGGAGATAGGGGGGCAAACTTATCCCTGGTGTAACACCACTGAAGCTGATAGCGTTTCTTCAACCCCGTTAACTAGAATGAGATGTAAACCTGATGGCCTGAGTGACTGGGGATCATTAGAGGAGTGAAGTTCTGGAACAGCCTTCCAAGGGGAGCAGTGGGGGCAAAAGACATATCTGGCTTTAAGACTAAGCTTGATAAGTTTATGGAGGGGATGGTATGATGGGATAGCCTGATTTGGGCAATTAATTGATCTTTGATTATTAGCAGGTGAATATGCCCAATGGCCTGTGATGGGACACTAGAGAGGGTGGGATCTGAGTTACTACAGAGAATTCTTTCCTGGGTGCTGGCTGGTGAGTCTTGCCACATGCTCCGGGTTTAACTGATCGCCATATTTGGGGTCGGGAAGGAATTTTCCTCCAGGGCAGATTGGCAGAGGCCCTGGAGGTTTTTCGCCTTCCTCTGCAGCGTGGGGCACGGGTCACTTGCTGGAGGATTCTCTGCACCTTGAGGTCTTTACACCACGATTTGAGGACTTCAATAACTCAGGCATAGGTTAGGGATTTGGGTGGGTGAGATTCTGTGGCCTGCATTGTGCAGGAGGTCAGACTAGATGATCGGAATGGTCCCTTCTGACCTTAAAGTCTATGAGTCTATGAGAGATCCCATAATGCTCTTTGGATTGTCCTAGCCAGCTCAATTTCTGGAATTATGTTCTGGCTGCAGATTCCTCAGCCACGGTATTCTCTTTTATCTCGTGCCCCACATCTTTGGGTAGCGCTGCTGTGCACTGTTACAGGTGGCTGCGTTTCAGTGACAGATGAAGCGATCCCTATGCATCGTTCATGGATCAGTTTTTACTGTGCTTTGGGATCCTCCCGGCTGAAAGGGTCGGTATGAATAAAAGATTCGCATTGTTCATTCTCCCTGTGGCTTGTCTGAGCCTTCCCATCAGGGTCTGAGGAACCGTGGAACAAAGCATTCAAAGCCAGCTGAATTAAAGTGCAGGGACGTTGTTATTTTTTAGCACAAATTAAGAGGTTTCTGGGCTAAATGGAAGGCATAATAATTTCCGTCAAACCGCTGTCCCGACCAAGAAGTGAATGGCTGTGTCCATGTGAGCTCACAGACGCCCTCGGAATCTGTCGCACAAGGTAACGTTTCTGTTGCCCTCGGGTGTTTCTAATGGAGCCGATTAGAACTAGTCAGAGAAAAGGGTATTTTTCAGGGAGGGGGGTTGTGGGAAATTTGGACTTTTTTTTCCTTTGGTCAAAAAACTCAAAACCTGTTAAGTTTTGGTTTTCAACCAAAATCTTTTTGCATTTTTCATGATATGTCAAAATTTTCTGTGGAAAGCAGAGACTGCTGTGAAAGCATGAATGTTCTGTCAGCACCTGTCAAAACAGCCTGGAAGGAAAACTCTTGGCCAGACTTGGATCACATGCTGACACTGCTGCCTTTGGTTTGTTTCCTTGCTTGTGCGTGGCCTCTGCGTTCTGCAGTGAGGTGCCCAGCAGTGAGGCTATAGTTCAAGTGCTGATGCACAATCAGACAAGGGAATTATTACACTGTGGGGTTTTTGGTGGCATGTAGGAAGATAGTGGCTTGGGGGTGGCAGGGACTTATTTATTTTTGGCAATGGTATGGTGGCTATTTAGTGTCCCAAAGACATTCCCCGCCAGTTCATCATAAAGTTATGGTGGCATAGAGCAATTCTGGGGTCTGTGTGACTTAAATCTCTTAAATCTTTCTTGTTGCCTTTCTAGTGCTGTTGCAACAAAGATTCTATAACCACAATTCAGGAAACATCATTTTTATTTGGGGGCAGGGAGAGCAAAATGGGCAATTTCATACCTGTTGTAAGCCTAGTTATCCCTTTGCTTTTTCCGAGCAACGGGTGAAGTGCAGGTGAATCAGATCTGACTGAATCTATAGCAAAGCTTTTTCACTTGGGTATTTGTGTTGTTTTTTGAACCCACGTGAAAATAACCTCATGAAACCAATGACTGCATCTGGGGAAAAAACTTGGATTTTTTTTCTCTTTCATGCCTATCAAGGAAGACAAGATGATGTTTTTAATCCAGGTAGGGGTATGTGTGTGTGTGTGTGCGCGCGCGCGCACACACACACACACACACACACACAGAGAGGTGCTTTTGTTGCATTGAAAGTCAATGGGACTTACACTTATAAGTAATTTAGGCTCATTTGAAAATCCCACCCATAATACATTACAGACATACTCACACTTGTAAACTTGCATTTAAAACAGTGATACTCAAGACTTCAGTGGTTCAGGAGTCAAATGAGCGATCAACATTACCCAAAAGAGCCAAGGTCGTGTGAATTCATTATTTCATTTACTATATAGTCATACTTAAGCAGTGTGATGGGAAATATTTAGTTTATTATTCTCACAGCAAAATAACTGACCAAGTAGTATTATTTTATAAACTACAATTGGTTAATAACATAGTAAAAGCCTCCTGATTGGTTTATAATTCAGTCACACAGTGTTTTAATAGCATGTGCTGGAAAGAGCCGCAGGAAACCCATTAAAGAACCACTTGCGGCTCACGAGCCTCAGTCTGAGTATCACTGATTTAAAACATATTTTTGTGTCTTCCTGGATGGCCATGCACAAAAGCAGATTTATGCTGTCGGAGAATAACTCTCTGCTTCCACAATGCTTTACATGCTGGAGTAACCAGATCAGAACATCTCCAGGGATCAAAGGAAAATCTCATGCAAAATGTGTTCTGTGGTGGCACACCCCATTGTACACTGGAACATGTTGCATATGCAAGTACGACAAGTGGATAATTTCCTTACTGCTGGTCAGACTTGTTGAACCATCTTGGCTCTGTCTTCCTTATTCCCTTCTCCTCAGTCCCACAATCTGTTAAATTCAAGCCAAACGAACCATTGCCGTTTGGGGCCACTGGGGACCAAGGCCCAGATTCTTCACTGAAATCAATGGAAGTTAGAATCCTAAATACCTTAAGGATCTGAGCCCAACTCCTTTTCCTCTAGTCCAAAATATCTCTTGAATTAAATACCAAACAAGAGAAAAATTGGCTTCCATAAGCTCCTCTCAGCATGGGAACAGTATTCACACCTGTGTTCTAAATATCTTATCAAGAGCCTCCAGGTCTGGTCTCATTTAAAGGTAACATGCTCTCTTCGAGCCGCTGGCATTTCCAAAGGACTTGTCGTCATTGTGGATTATCTTCTGACTTTTAGATTCAGCCTCACTGTGGTGGTTTCCACTTCCCATTGTGATGGTTTTTCATCAGAGGAGCAGTCAAGTCTCACTGACGATTGTCTTCTTCTGAAGTGGATTCAGTTTTCTGGTGATGGGTTTTCCTTTCTGAAGGGTTCACCCTTGGCTCCAAAGAGAAGGGAAAGGGTTCACTACCTCAGCTCATTCAAGGGAATCACATGACTTAGCAAACACTACAATTTTTGTATATATTCACGTAAGGTGGGGCTTTCAGAGACACCTGTCTCCTTCGGGAGCTTCTGGAAAATCCCACCATTCAGTAAAAATATTGAATTCCCTTTGGCTGAGTTTGCACCCCTTTCTGCTTTCACTCTGGGGTATCCTTGTGGCCAGTGCAAATAGTCAGTGAATACTGGAGAATACTTAGGGAAGTCAGATCCCAAGTCATAGAGGTGAGTGTTCACACAGGAAACTTCAGTGCTAGGACTTGTGCTCATCCAATCATGGAACAGTAACTATTTCATGGGTCCAAATGAAACCAGTTGGATTTGGGGTCTCCAACACTCAGCTAGCTGTTCACAAACATCCTTGAGATGCACAGAATTATCTGGCGAATCATGGAGAAATTAGAGAAAATGCTGAGATGTTTGTGGATAGTTCACTGAATAAATTTGCTAGGAATCACTTGGCCCTAGCTGTTTCCAGCATACCTATCTGACTGAGGCTGGGGAGACTATGCCAGGGCAATTAAGCGAGGAGAGGCCGTTTTCAAACCTCATTGCATTCTAAAAAGGATAGTATGTTGCAGAACAAGGTGGGCTGCACTGTTCTTGTTGCAGACAGCTTATATATTGAGCTGTGTCCTCTGCCGACCTCTCGCTGTTTTGGCTGCATTCTTTGCACTTCACTTAAAAGTGGAGCAGGGGATCAGTGTGACTATGGTAAAACCTCCTCCCTTCTGGCTCAGTACATGGGTGCTAGTCTCCATCAGCCCTGTAAGCCAGTTGCAACACAGTCAGTATGATTCTCTTGTACTCTTTCCTAAAGTTATTGTTCATCGCCCCATAAACCACAGCGTTCAGACAGCTGTTGAAGTAGGCCAAGAAGTAGCTGGCCGTGAAGAGCCACTCAGGTATCAAGGAACCCAGTGTGGGCTGGACCGCCACCGCGAAGCCGATGAAGTTTAACGGCGCCCAGCACACAGCGAAGAGCACAAAGACCATGAACATGGTCAGGAAGTTCCAGAAATCATGGGACTTGATTTTGGGCTGCGTGTCCGGCTTGACCCTGCGGCGCACCTGGATGACCAGCACCCAAATCCGCAGGTAGCAGTAGCTGACTATGGTGATGGGGAGGAAGAAATGGATGACCACCACGGCGATGGTGTAGAGGGCGCTGACAGACTGGGCAAAGGTGCAGGAATACACCCGCGGGTCGTACTGCAGGGACTCCACAAAGAGGTTCGGCATGATGGCCAGCAAGGTGAGTGCCCAAACCAGCCCCACGTAGCACACGGTGTTGGTGCCCGAGAAAAGCTTGTCGTACTTCAGGCTGTGGCAGATGTAGCAGTAGCGGTTAATGGCGATGCCAGTGATGTTGAAGATGGAGCCGATAACGCTGATGCCCATCAGGAAGCCGCTGACCTGGCAATGGAGGTACCCCATCACCCAGCCGTCATGGAAAATAGCCATCAGGACCAGGGGATAAGGGTAAAAAGCCACTAGTAAGTCTGCAATGGCCAAGCTCACCACAAAGGCATTGCCTGGGGAGGGTAACAAAACAAAAACAAAAATAACAGTTAGAACCTATGATCGGAATGCAGCAGCAGCCAGGAAAACGCCTTCTCCTTGCTAAACAGATCAGCTTCCTGTGCCAACTTCAAATGACACCTGCTTGCCGTACTGTCTTTTTACTTCTCTTTGCACGGCAGGGATGGCTCTGAGAGCTGGATTCTGTTCTGGCTCATGCATCATCTACAGAGTAGCTTAACTTATTACCACTTTAACTACCACGCCTGCTTCCTTTCATCGCTACCTTGTACCCCCACCCATTTGTCTGTTTATCCCCTTGTTGCATCTTGTCACAATCTCAGATTTTTAGCTCCCTGGGGCAGACACTGTCTGTTTTGTTCATTTTGTACAGCACCTAGCACAACGGGGCCTTGATTGCCTTTAGGTGCTACCAGAATTCAAATAACATTGACCATCCATCTAATATATTATCCTCATACACCCTTGGGAGGCAGGGCAGTGCTATTAGTACAGAGGGGGAGCTGAGGAACAGACGAGCTAGTGGCTAGATTTGTTTTCTAAAGTGAAACCCACTTTTGAAAATTGGGCTGTGATTGACTGGCCCAAAATCGCACAGAGTGTCTGTGGTGGAGCCAGGCATCGAACCTGGGTCTCCCGCGGGGTCAGGCCCTAACCACTGGGCCAAATTTGAGTTGCATATCTATCACTTGGGCAAGGAAAGCCCAATGGGTGCTTTGCAGTTCTTTGGTCCACAATCGTGTGCTTGCTCTCTGCTGGGCTGATTTGGGAATTAAAGCCCCAAAGGGGATAATGCTGCCCAGAGCTATCTGCGCCTCCTCTTCCACAAGAGGACTAGTCCCGAGCCAGCGGCAGTGTCTTTTCACGCAGGGATCTTTTTTCTTCCTCACCGTGACAGGAGAGAGGTGGGGTTTTCCCTCTCTTTGGAGCAGCTCTAGGGAACTGGTGCACTGGGTGGGGTAGGGAATTCGGTGGTAGGTGAAAGGCATAGCTCAGCTGCCTGGAGAATACAATGTCTCGGCTGCAGGACACCAGTCAGATGGAACCGTGTGATAGAAGAGGCAGAGAGCTTGCAATATTCTGTACCCAACCTGACCCCTCTCCTGCTTGCAATAAAAGAAAAGAGCAGGCGAGGGGTTTAAATCACTGCTCTCCCGGGACACAATACAACTGAGACGTGTTCTCCTGGGTGGCACTTGCAGCTGAAGCCAAAGCAGATGGTAACCACTCAGTTTAATGCAATGGGTCCATTCAAGCTGGCTGCACTACGTTGCCCTCGCCACGGCTCTGCTCCAGCAGGGATGTGGAATTGGCCACTCCATGCACAGGGGAGTTGATTATACTCAGGTGCTTGGGATGGGCTCTGGATTTTGACACCGGGGACCCATGTTAAAGTCAGTCCTACTGTGATGACCGATTTGGTTCTGGCTTTGTGCTTTTCAACGGCCTTTGACATTTCTCGGCTCTGTAGGATTGGATTGATCCTGGCGTTAGATTGCATCAGTCGCACCCGGGCTATCCCCAGCCACTGACTTCGAATTTGGTTAGGCAGAGACAGTCTAGGTAGCATAAATGAAGCAGCGGTTAGGTGCCCCCCCGGTAAGGGACATGCAGGTGCACACACGCCTATCGAAGTTATTTGTTTGCTCTCCCAGCCTCTCCTGCCTTTTCCCGGCAGTGAAGTCAGAATGCTGGGATGCAGGGGATCAAACCCCGGACACAGCCTGGAACCCAACCCTGGCCATCACGGACCTACTTCTGCCAGGCGTGAGAGCCCTCCACGCTTGTATACCTGGTCATGCCAGCGACGTCCAGTCATATTGGAGCATACATAACATTGTTACCGCTCCCATTGCAAAGACTGTGATGTCCTAAGGATTCCATTGTTCCTGCACGGCAAGGGAGAGAACCCATTAAAAGATAAGGAGGTGACAACTAGAAATGTAGTGTCTAGCAGTTACCGAACAGGACTAGGTGTCAGGACGCCTGGATTCCATTCCTGGCTTTGTCTTTTAGACCTGAGCTTTCAAAGGTACGCTGACTTTGAGTTACTGAATTCTGGGGAGAAAGACAGCCTGCTTTTGAGAGGCATGGGATTTGCCTGGCTCCCACTGAAGTCACTTGGGATTCTTGGACACTCAGCACCACTGAAAATCAGACCCAATTTGTCTCCAGTTAGACATCCTTGACAAGATAAGCCTCCAGCTTTCTGCCTCAGTTTCCCCCCCCCTTAAAATAATTTCCTAGTGGCGCAGAGAGTCAGATTTAGTGTAAAATGCTTCGGGATCCAATGCTGCAGAAGGACAAAGTATTGTTACCTGAAGTGACTGAAGGCCTTTTCCAGAGATGGAGGCTAATTATTACAGACCAAGACCTTGGCTTGTAACCTGGGTTTATTATAGGCAAGGGAAGACAGAAAACTTTCTACCTATGTGGGGCTTGCAAGCAGAGGGTGAGGTCAGCAAAATTCTCCACTTCGTTGCAGCAGAAACAGCCTAACCCGGAGAGTTACTGGTAACTTTTTTAGTGCATAAAGATGGACAAAAACCCAAACCCCCTGATTATTAAATCCCAGCTGAACAGTAGCTCCTGCTAGAATCAGGCTGTGCAAATGGAAAATAGCTGTTTTCTCCTGTGTGAAGGCTGGAACAATTCTTACCATTCATTTTGTGTCCCATTTACCCATGCACTTACAAGATCACCAGACAGGCTAGGAGGGGGGAGCTTTAGGTCCTCCAAACCCCCTAATTGACCTAAGAAGACTCTAAATCCCACAAGGAACTAGGCCAGAATTCCCCCAGAGAGGGTGTTGATGAGCCCTGAAGCCAGCTGGTGGAATCTGAGTCAAGATTTTCAGAAGTGATGAGTGATTTGGGGTGTTCCAGTTTTTGGGGTGCCCTGGCTGAGACTTCTTAAAAGGGGCTTTCGGAAAGCACTGAGTACCCACCCTCTGAAAAATCGGGCCCTTTTTTAGGATGACCCAAGTTGAGCAGCCAAAATCACTAGTCACTTGGCTGTGGATCTGGTTGAGACTGTAAGCCAACGGGTGCAATGTATCTCAGGCAAGGAAGCGCGGGTCAGTATGGCCAACAGAATTTTCCCCTCTAAGCTTTGGTAGCCTGCTTTACTAGCCTTTCCAACTCCAGGCACTCCGCACCTACTAGAAATTTGCCTTGAATCCCAGCTGTGCTGGGTGGGAGAAGTTTACATACCGAGATGGACGGACAGACAGACACGCACGCATGCGGATGGACACACAGACACAAAGGTGGATTCTGCTAGCACGGGCACGTCACTGCACTAGCGGGGCAGGAGGCTGGCTTACTGCTCCTGGGCCCTGCGGAGGGAGGCAGAGCTGCTCCTGGGAGCCTGGAGAACGACCCCCCCCCCCCCCTGCCAGCAAGGCCATTACCTGCTTTTCTCAGGTTCTTGTTCTTGAAGACTGAGACAATCACCAGGAGGTTGCCCAGGATGTCCACAGCGATGGTGATGATGAGGATGACAGCCAGCGTGAACACCACCCAGGTGGGGTAGAGACCATCCTCCCTTCCCAAGCCAGCAGACAGGTTCTTCAGCCCAGAACCTTCCTCCTCCATCCTCGGTCATCTAACCTGCCTCTCAGGGCGGCGCAGAGTCCTCAGCCAGTCAGGACTAGCATTTCCAGTGGTCCTGAGCCAAGAGGTCAGGGCTCAACCAAGGCAAGGGTCAGTGCCCCTCTCAAAGCACCAGGAGAGGCGCATGGGCCCCTCCCGGAGAAGTTCCTTGGAAGTGTGGCTCGCTCCCGCGTCCGGCGTGGCAGGATCTCGCCTTTGTCCCTGTCCGCAGGCCCTGCGGGGAGGTGGGATTCCCCGGTCGATCACCGCTTCGGGCACCCGGAATTGCGCACACGAGTTTCTGCGAGCGGCGCTGTGGCTGCTCCGCGGGGCGCTCTCTCCAAAGCACCGTGCCTGGGGGGGCGGACGGGGGCCGCTCCCCACACGCGTCGAGTGGCTCTAGTTGGGGAAGTCCCGCTCCCGCAGGCAGCGCTAGGAGCCCGGGGGAGCTCCCAGCTCAGCGCAGCCAGCCCCTTGCTGGGGGCGCTCCCTTCCCGGTGCCGCCCTCTGGGTGCCAAGCGCCGGGCTCCGGGCACCTCTCCAGCCCCACTGATGCTCTTCCCACCTCGTTCATCCCTTCGGCTCCATTCAGCCCCGTCCCTGGGCTCCCTCGGCAGCCGGCGCTCCGCGCTCTCCCGTGCGCTCCTCGGGAAAAGTTCCCCTTGGTGGGGACAAACTTCGCAGCCTGCGCCAGAACCGGACACCCCCGCGGAGCCGTGCGCCACGCTTCCCCCGGGGCCCCGGCTGGCGGAGCCCTGGCGCTGCCCTGCGCCTTCCAGTCCCCAGTCTCCTGCAGCGACGCTTGGTCACGTTCTCCTCTTTGCCCTTGGCCCCTCCATCCCCTCTCCCAGCCCCCCTGACCTGCGGCTCTGGGCCAGGAGAGCCCCGTGTCTCCCAGTCCCCGTGAAGCACCTTCCGAGGCGCAGCCTCCGCACCGCAGCCGTCTCCTTCGCGCATTTATGGGCTAACCTGCCCCGGGTTAGGGGCTGGTAACTCCTCCCTGCCCGGGGCGGAGAGCAGCGGCGCACTGAGCCCCGCGGCTGTTCACACCAGCTTTATCCAAGCTCTGGATGCGCGCAGGTGGGGAACGGGTCCCTATGGTGCGAGGGGAAGGCAAGGAGCCCTGCAGGCAGGTGGTCACAGTCACTCAGCCCCTTACAGCGAGGTTAGCTATGCCCCCTGTCCGACCCGGTACAATGAGCCCACTGGCAAAGGAGTCACCGTGAACAATGTCTGAAGTGGGCCCTCAATTCTGCCTCTGTTTTGGCCACTTGGTACCAGTCCCAGCATTGCGGGCTTGGTCGCTGTGGGAAGCCCAGCTCCAGGATTCCCAGGTTGATCTCCCACAAGTTTCTCTCGCTCTCCTCTTCCAGCCAGAGGGAGGCCAAGGCAAACATCACAGAGCAAACTGCCAAAGCAGCACCCAGCAACACTGCGCCAATGTTCTCCATCCTACAGGCGCCAGGCTGGGATGCCTGGAGAGGATGGTGTGGTCATGGCATGCTGCTGCCCTGGGGGGGAAGGGGAGGCAGCTGTATGAGCCACTTGGTCTCGGGGCTCGTCTACTGGGGGATGCTCAGAAAAGTTAGGGGAAATCAACCCATGGTGTGAGGTCAATGCACATGGGTTAACCCGTTCCCCCCCCCCCCCAGCAGTGGCGTGCTGTCTGCGTATGCAACACATGGCCCAGGACTGGCTGTGCCTACAGGATGATCCCTCCAGCCCCCAGACGTGTGCCGGAGGACGCCATTTTCTAGGACAACATGGCCTCCTCCACACAGCATGACTGGCATGCAACGTATGTGCAAGGGCTTGCCTTGTGGAGGAGGCCATTTTGCATGCAAGTGTAGCATTGCATGCCGGGCGAAACGCCTCACGGCTCGCCATTGCCCCCCAGTGCAGATGCTTTCGGGAGTGAAGTGGCCTTCCAACTGAGAGTTAAGTTACAGTGAACTGAAAACATCCCCCCGGGGTTTAAGGGGCCTTAATTCATGTGCGTTGCCTTCACATCAGTTGTAATTGATTTGCCTCCACTTTCCTGAGTGTCCCCTCCCCATGTCGGTTTGGCCTCTGTGCTCTTCCAGCAGGAGTAGGACTCAGAAGGGGTGAGCAGAGGCATTACCTTCCTTCCTTCACTAGGCACAAAGTGCTGTCCAGAGCGGTCACAATGAAGCACTGTGGGATAGCTCCCGGAGGTCAATAATGTCGAATTCCGTCCACACTAACCCAATTCCGACCCCCTAAGGCCGATTTTATCGCTAATCCCCTCGTTGGAGGTGGAGTAAAGAAACCGGTTTAAAGGGCCCTTTAAGTCGAAAGAAAGGGCTTCGTCGTGTGAACGTGTCCAGGCTTAATTCGAATTAACACTGCTAAATTCGACCTAAACTCGTAGTGTAGACCAGGCCTTAGTTTGAGGGCAGCGGGTTTTAGTTTGAGTGACAGACTTTGCCATCCAGGGCTCAGTTTTCATAGAATCATAGGACTGGAAGTAGGGTGACCATATTAAAGGTTTTTAAAAAGAGGACACTCCACGGGCCCTGGCCCTGGCCCTGCCCCAACTCCGCCCCCTCCCCTGAGCGCCCCGCATTCCCCCTCCTCCTCCCTCCCAGCCAAGCGAAAAGGGCTACCCGAGCGCTACTGGCTTCACGGTTTGCCGGGCAGCCTTCAGACCCTGCGCCCCCGGTCGGGCACTTCCCCTCCCGGGCTCCGGCTGCACTGGGGAAGTGCCCGGCCGGGGGCGCAGGGTCTGGAGGTCTGGGGGCTGCCCGGCAAACTGTGAAGCCGGTAGCGCTCGGGCAGCTCGGCTCTTCAGCTGCACAGAGCTGAGGTGTTTGGGGGGAGCAGCAGCAGCCGCCGCCGCAGCGGGGAATCCGCCTGCAGCTCGCAGCCTGCTGGAGCCGCTCAGGTAAGCAGGGGACTGGAGCAGGGATGCCGGCATTTTCCCGGACATGTTTGGATTTTTGGCAGTTCCCCCCGGACGGGGATTTGAGCACCAAAAAGCCGGACATGTCCGGGAAAATCCAGACGTATGGTAACCCTACTGGAAGGGACCTCGAGAGATCATCTAGTCCAGTCCCCTGCACTCAAGGCAGGACTAAGTATTATCTAGACCATCCCTGACAGGTGTTTGTCTAACCTGCTCTTAACAATCTCCAGTGATGGAGATTCCATAACCTCCTGAGGCAATTTATTCCAGTGCTTAACCACCCTGACAGTTAAGAAGTTTTTCCTAATGTCCAACCTAAACCTCCCTGGCTGCAGTTTAACCCCATTGCTTCTTGTCCTATCCTCAGAGGTTAACAAGAACAATTGACCTCTCTCATCTTTGTAACAACCTTTTATATATTTGAAAATTGTTATCATGTCCCCTTCAGTCTCCTCTTCTCCAGACTAAACAAACCCAATTTTTTCAGTCGTCCCTCATAGGTCATTTTTCTAGACTTTTACTAATTTTTGTTGCTCTTCTCTGGACTTTCTCCAATGTGTCCACATCTTTCCTGAAACGTGGCACCCAGAACTGGACACAATACTCCAGCTGAGGCCTAATCAGCGCGGAGTAGAGCGGAAGAATTACTTCTCGTGTCTTGCTTACAAAACTCCTGCTAGTACATCCCAGAATGATGTTTGCTGTTTTTGCAACAGCGTTACACTGTTGACTCATATTTGGCTTGCGGTCCACTATGACCCCCAGCTTTCTGCAGTACTCCTCCCTAGGCAGTCATGTCCCATTTTGTATGTGTACAACTGATTGTTCCTTCCTAAGTGGGGTACTTGGCATTTGTCCTTATTGAATGTCATCCTATTTACTTCAGACCATTTCTCCAGTTTCTCCAGAGCATTTTGAATTTTAATCCTATTCTCCAAAGCACTTGCAACCCTGCCCAGCTTGGTATTGTCCGCAAAGTGTACTCTCTATCAGGGCCGGCTCTAACTTTTTTGCCGCCCCAGGCAAAAAAGAACAGAGACGCCTTGCCGTACCCACCCCCTGCGAGCGCCGCCGAAATCCCCGCCCTCCCCCGCACCATGCCACCCGAAACCCCCCCCCCCAGCGCCGCGCTGCCCGAAGCCCCGCCCCCCTCTCCGAGCATCACGCCTCCCGAAGCCCCGCCCCCCCAGCACCACGCCGCCTGAAGTCCCCGCCCCCACTCCGAGCACCATGCCGCCCAAAGCCCCCGACCCCGCTCTGAGCGCTGCGCCGCTGAATCCAAAAATAAAAAATAAAAAATCGACTGCCACCCTGCCCCAAGGTGCCGCCCCAAGCACGTGCTTGGTCGGCTGGTGCCTGGAGCCGGCCCTGCTCTCTATAGCATTATCTAAATCACTGGTGGGTTTTTTTTTTTTTTTTTGCCCTGGGACGTGAGCCCAACCCCCCCATTTTCCCCTTTTGTCTGGCTCCATGGCAACTGCTGATGACATCACTGACACCGAAGGGCTTCGGTGCTGATGTCACCCCCTATTGTTGGGGAGATTCAGAACCAGCTGAGTTCATAGGCCCGATCCTGTGTTTGTGATACTGGTGTAAATCTGCTGGCAGGTCGGTGGAGTGACTCCTGATTGACCAGGGTGTAACGGAGAGCAGCAGTGAACCCATGGTCAGTAAAAACCAGCACAACCTTTAAGACTGGTGCACGCCTGCCAGCACTAGGGAGCTATGAACAGGCGTAGCTGGGGAAGAAAGCAGAGGCCAGCCAATGAAGCACAGTGGGCCAGGAGAGGTGGAGAGGTGCTAAACAATCTGCTCCAGCCATCGGCATCAGGGCATTGGCTGCTCTGCTGGACGTCCGTCCTTAACTCCGATTTTGGGGCACAGTGGTGTGGATGGAGGGGGAAGGTGGGGCTGGAGCCACCCCCTCGGTCCCCTGCTCACAATCAGAAGGCCAAGGTCTCAAACCCAGTCTGATTGCTGCCCTGTGCTGAGCCAGTTCTCTTGTATTTTGCGGGGACAGTCACAGCGGTCACCCCCAGACTGGTTTGTTGAGCGCCCTCCACTCTCTGCAGGACCT